GTAACGTGTCTCTAACGTCTCATCGCTTCCATTTGGTGTGGGTAAGTAGAGAGACTTTGAGTGAGTTTGTGTGCCAGATAAGTTACCAACGAATTTTATATTTTATATCCAAAGAGTATATTGACTAGTGAGTTGGGCAAAGCGTAAAGTTAATAGCCAAAATATACGTAAATACAGAAGTAAATAAGATTTGAATTCGAAGCTTCTGCGAATTTGGGTCAAGAAAAATGTGTACGACTCGCGAAAGGCATTTCGCGGGACTCATGAAGAGTTCCTTAATTATATGGATATACAGTATTGACAATAATATCAAACACCCTTCCCATCCGGATGGCCCCCAACTATTTTTCCAAGTCATTCAACGAGCCGCAGTAATGTCCCCGGGGCCGTGCCTGCTGCCGGGGACGTCTTTAGCTACAGCAGCGGAACACGCGGTATTTCTTGCCAGCGTTCCGTTAACCAAATTGGCCTGCGTCAGCTGTTAGCACGAAAACTCATAGTTTTGTTGCTATGACCAAATATTTCCATTTTGAAAACGGGAAAATCTTGCCTTTTGTAAAATCCGGAGAAAGTGAAAACCGGAGCCTGCCTGATAACAAATTTTTTTCTTATCGCTCCTCAACTTTGGCTGCACCAAAACAAACCAAGCCAAGAGAGGGGAGTGTGGAATAATATGACACACTTGATTAAATCATAATTAAATCGTCTATACAAATTAAAATACTTTGGGTGGCAACCCAGTCAGCTGTTTACACCATTGATTTCGCCTACTCCTTAGTTTACGAATTTTCGTTTTTAGTTAGTTTAGTTTCGTTCGAGTTTTATATATTTTCTACGCCTAAAACAGTCACAGATATTAATTACACAAGTCCACCTCGCTTTTAGGAATACCATTAATGGGCTCAGAATAATGAAAAAATAAAAGGTGGCAAGAGTCTCTATTATATCACAAGCCGACAGCAAATATACACCGATTTTCATACCCTAGGGAAACGGATGTTATAGAATTGAGAAAATTGTATATCTCTATCTCTATCAGGATCGAGATAAATATATACAAGATACTAATAAAATACATAAATATAAACATATAAACATATCAATTTGAGAAAAGGTCTTTATAAATTACGTTTTATCTTCATAGAAAATTAACGAAATATTTTGTTCAAGCCTTGTTTTAGTCAAAATACAATAAAAGCAAGGACTAAAAATCTAACCAATTTTGTAGAAATTTTTGTTTTGACCTATTTCGCTAAACCCGTTTTTTTTTTGGTTGACCTATTTCGCTAAAGCCTTTTTTATGCAAAATGCAATAATAGAAATTATTTAAAGTAAGCCAGTCAAATAGAAAATTTATTTATTAATCGTATAAAATTATGGGAGCATGGCAAAGGACCTGCAGGACCTGTATCCGTTTATAGTTAGATTTTGCAGCAATACCCCAAGTCTGCAAACCGTAGAGCCAGATCGGGGCTACACAGTGTACATAAACCGCTCTTTTTGCTGACATGGTGCTTCTTCTGTTAATCAGCCACCGCAGTTGCTGCATTCTTTGCCCACATTTACGAGCCGTAGCGTTCAGGTGTGGACCAAATATGAGACGCTTATCAAGGGTGATTCCGAGATATTTTGCTTGCTCTGGTTGGTCCAAAGTTATGCCTTCAAACTTTATGGGTGAGGTGTGGTCTATGGCCGCTTTCAGGGTGAAGCATGGATTGGTGGTCTTCAGTGGATTGACTTTTAAATTCCATCTCCTTCACCAAGCTTCCAAGGAGTGGACGCACTCTGGAGTCCATCTGCTGTCTCAAGGCGGCATTTGGAGCTGTATAGCAGTGATATATCGTCCGCGTAAGTGGCAAGAAGAGCCTTACGGGGAACCTCCATATGGTGCTCGCTTGGGTAGTTCTATCTAAATTGAGCAATTGGAACGATACTCGTTTGCTTAGGCTACTGTTGTTTGAGCAAAAGGGCCTTGTGCGTCTGCCTACAGTGGCTTCAAATGACGGTAAATCCAGATGGCACAGGGTACTCCTAAAAACAACCGATGTTTCACGGCTATTCCGTGTGTGATTGTTATTTCAAAATGGCAATCACAAAATCGGCTCAATTTCACAATAAAGTTAATTTACCGCTCTGTTACCGATCATTTTCTTGTACATTTTGTTGAACTTTTTTACTTAAACCTTGCTTTAAACACAGTCCAATAGCAAGGAGTCCCTAAACTACGCAGATCTTGTAGAAATTCGAGTTCAAGCTAAGTTAAATAAATAATTGTTTTTTATATCGGGTATCATATATGGTGGCAAGGCTGATTGCTGAGCGATGTTTAAATATCAAAACCAAAAAAAAGCAGACCTGCCTGCCAGCATTTGAACGTTGAACTATTTATATGCGATCGTGCTACTTTTAAAACAGGTAACCATGCGCTTCCATCTTCTCAGCCCTAACTTCAAATTTTCTTGGCTCAAGCAGTCTTGCACCGCTAAATTTAAGCAGTAGGTGTCGTTTTTGAAGAATGTCACATGCCTTAAACATGGCATGCGCATTGTCAGTTACAATAACACCCACTTAACCAGAACCTTTTGTAATGAGTTGGCTAAAGGGATCTTCAAGTTTTTCGGTTGACACCACTGCACTTTTCAAAATCAAAGTAGAGAAGGGGAAGCGACCTATAAGAGCTCGATAGTATCATGAATAGTAGCAAAACCATCAATACTATCGATAGTGCCATCGATGGTTTGACAACTCTAAATCAAAATAACTAATTCATTTTGCTGCATTATCTTGGAGAGAAATGGCTTTCGCCATCATTGTGAAACGTTCTCTGCGCTCCGGGTTGCAGCTAGTTACAATAACACCTAGACCCTTTCGCAATGAGTTGGCTTAAGTTGACACCACTGCACTTTTCAAAATCAAAGTAGATAAAAGCTCGATAGAGTCACCATAAGCTAGATTGAAAAAAATAAGCTAGAATAAGCTAAAAATAAAAAAAAAGTTTAAAAATAAGCTAGCCATAAACACACATATCAAAATAATGGATACTTTAATTTTGTCGATAAACTTTTCTTGTGTAATTTTTATTCGACAGCCGTAATTCGCACAACTTGGCCCAAATTTTTGCTTTATAAGAGCTGCAGTACGATTTTGTGGGGTCAGTTGGCACATTGCGTAGACACTCCTTAAATTCATAAAAATTTAACCAGAAATTGTGGAAATTTTGATTATAAGACGTTTCGGCATTTTTTCATATGTGAATGTGCAATACTGTAGTGTGACTAAAATCAAATACAATGCATGTTGCAAGATGTTGCATGAGGAACAAATTCTTTTTCATTTGACGCTTCATGGTACGGGCGCGCAGGTCTATTACTTCAATTCTCTTTTACGCTACCTTCGCCTCCGAAATGCTACTCGGCTTCGTCAATGCCTCGGTCAGCGTCGAGTCGGTGTGTATGTATGAGTGCTTTAGATAAATTTAATGTACGCATCTAATAGAGAATTTTCCAATCGAATTTTCAAGATAGTTTCAGTTTAGAAGATATAAGCACTCAAAGTTTAACATTTTTTCAGCGTGCAAATATTTATTGAACTCATATTCACTAACTAATTTAGCAAGCTGAGACGGCCAAAGGTCCCACTGTGCCGCTCCAAAGACATCGGCGATTCGCGACCACCGCTTCGACGGTGCTGAGGCTCGAGAGTCCAGAATTGCGGTAGAGACGAAGTACAGGCGAAAAGGGAATTGAAACCCCGCGCTCTCCCTCGTGCCTTTTGGGTTCTAATGTTAGTACCCGCCATAGAAAAGCTTTTTGGTCGCTCATGCAACATCTTGGTATTGTATAGTCTTTGCTAAAATTTATCAACGAAAAATTACTATACATGTATGCACAATATAATGTACCAAAATACGAACAAGAAATATGATTTTTATCAGTTTTCTCGTTAAAAATTTAAAAATATTACAATAAAATAAAAAAACATAAATTTGTTTGAACCAAATATTTTAAGCTAAATGAACTTTTAAATAAGCATTTCAAATATTTCTCAATCTATTTGGTTTTAAAATAAGCCAAATCTAGCTTAAAATAAGCTAAAATGGCAGCACTGAGTATCATGAATAATAGCGAAACCATCGATATGCCTGCCGATATGCCGATAGTGCCATCGTTGCTTTCTTCCCTTTGGTGGTAATTCGTGTGTATGTAAGTAAAATCATTTAACAAATAATTCGGGCCGCCTGGTGTTTCTGAATTGTTATATCATTGTTATATCGAAATCATTTGAATATAACCTAGACAAGTATTTCCTTGATATTATCTTAACAAATTATCAATGCATGTTGCGTATGCCCACATATCTATGTACATATGTATACTCACGTACATATGAATGTATGTACATATATACATGTATGTTGACTGCCTATTTTGAGGTGATTCCTTTAAAATATTACTTTGTTTTGTACATTACTGTAAAATCTATTTTATGTTTGCCTGTATGTACATACATATGTTATAACTAATGATTTTGTTTAGATCACTGGGACTAAAGTGGAATTTTGTGAAAACACATGCTGAAATATTACATATATACGTATTTAAGTCTTGATATGTCGTTCAAAATGTAAAATTTTGTGTGCATGTGTGATTTTTTTTCTTCAATTTTACGTTCGTGTGCGAGACTTAAGTTCCCTTTTTAGGTTAGGTTGCGTTGCTCGGAACTATTTATTTGTTATTTTCTTCTTTTAGTTCGATAATACATGATCTTGCTTCTATACACACATACGCAATGCAATCTGATCATACTGAAAACTGATCAAATAAAAAAACATAAAAGTGAATTTTCCATTAACGATCAGAATTAATACGAAGATCAGTAATCAGTAATAAAGTGGAATCGTTGTTAGATATTGTAATTACATACATGATTTGTTTGTCAAATTCGAACTAAATTTAGTTTACTCTTTTATTCGCTTAGCTTCAGCAAAATATAAAGGAAACAAGAGGCTACTGAAAATGACAGATTCTATGAAGTTCGGTCCTGAATGGTTGCGCAATATGTCAGCGGAGCCTTCAGGATCTTCCAGTAGCAATAACGGTGGAGGAACCAATAGCTCTCTGGCAACGCACAGCCTTAGCAACAACACGACAGCAGCTTCCTCTCGCAATATGTTTCCAGAGTACCGGTATGGACGTGAAGAAATGCTGTCATTGTTTGATCGGCACTGTTTGTTGCCGCAGATTTTACCTTCGTTTAAGAAGCTTTTTGTGGACAAAGTTCAGTATCCGCTGGCCCTGACGCCAAGCACTGAAGAGGATAACAATCAAACTGGGAGTAGCGTAAGTGCAATTTTTCCCGTTCCCATAACAATGTTAAATTGATGATCCTACCAACAGTCTCGTCCAGCCTGGTTGCAGCGCTCGACGGGTGGATTTGGAACAGCTCCGCGTGGCACTGGACGTGGTGGAACAGTCGATCGGGGCCGAATGCGCGGAAAATCAGTTTATCATCCTATATATCAGCGCCCTGGTGGTTTATACGACGAAGGTCTATCAGCTATGTCCATCAAGGTAAGAGAATGATGCAGAATCATTGGGTGGGTGGCGATTCTGAGAGAGTACGAGAATATGAAGAAAATTATTCTCCTAGACTGAACGAAATTGGAACGAGCGAAATGGAACAGGTGATTCAGTGGCTGTTAGCACATCACTTGGCAATGCGGGAGGCCTGGACTGGAACGGGACACCTAGTTCGAGTCCCAGAAAAGAGTTCTCAAGTCATCATCGGAACATGGAAAACTGGCGGCGAAGTCGAAACGAAGATGGATCTGGAGACGGCCCGATTACAAGCAATAACCTTTCTGGATCGGATGTTGCCGGATGGAGAAGCAGTGGCGGTGGAGGAAGTACCAATACTAGCTTTGTGGCCAACACGCACCGCTGGGGTCAGTTATCAGTACTTATACCTTTAATATATATTGTTTTTATACCCTTGCAGAGGTAATTATCCTTATTACACTTGTAGGGCTCTAGAAAGTTTCGCAAAGCTCTCATTGGCTGACAATTTTTGTTGCTGTTTTTATCCACCAAGAAGTGTCATAAAGTACATCAAAAGTGAATTATTATGTTAGGCGGGTGTTGTCCACCATTCATACAAATGCAATAAGTCGTCGTTCAATTTCAATTCAGTGGCAAATGCATTTATTTGATAAGATTTAGTCAAATTCCGCAATGGATCAAATGAATTTTGATTTCTACTGTTGCATTTTAAATCTAATTTTGTATATTCAGCCAGTCTCCGTTTTTCACATTCACTAAAGTTTTTCGATTTACTTTTAATACACATAAATTGGTGCTCCCGTTCTCATTCGTTGACGAAATGAAAAGTAAACGGTTTTTTATACAACGACATTCCATTAATTGCAAAAGGAAAAATAGATGACTTATTGGTGCATTAACATAAACTTGACACCTATATAAGGGTAATTTAACTTTTGCTTTCTTTATATTGCTTATATAATTTTATTTTAACTCAACCTCAAATTTGGCTCGAAATAAATTGGCCAGGAAAACATTTTTGTTTTGGGGCAAACAGCAAAAATATGTGAAATATGTGAAAACGTAATCCGCAAAAGTAAATGAAAAACGGACCCTGCCTGATTGTATGTATTTATGTGGTCATATGGTCATGTATTTATACATATGTATTTATGTCCCCGTAACGGCGACGACTAATGGTTTACTTATCTGCACGTATTTGAATTACATTTTGTTGGGTTTCGTACAAATATTAGGATGAATTTAAAACTGGGAGACTGAAAGGTCAGGAGTATACAAGCATATATAGCTTATTTAGTGGAATATCCCGCAAGGGTATATTTATATACATTTAGATTTTACATAGATTACATTACATTAATTTGGTATATTGCGTTTCAGGTCGGTCTACTAGTTGGCGTGACGAGGACTCCAACTTGGATGGATTAGCCAGTATACAGCGCTCTATTTCGACGGTTGGGACTGTAGATATTGATCGTGAGCGAGGAGGAAGCATCAAGACAGGAGCGGGATTGGCTGCTGCTTCAGTCCGTCAGCCGGGCGCTAAAAACTCTCAATTGTGGTCTGGCAGCAATATTGGCGGTGGTGATACCGAAGACAATCTTCCTGAGTGGGCTATGGAGAATCCATCTGAATTAGGTGGCACCTTTGATTCGAGTGGCGCTTTTCACGGTGATGCCGATCTACAAAAGGCCAAGGCTGCAGCTGGAGAAAAGGACTCCAACGATGCGGTAAACTCTGCTGCTTCAAACTCCGGCAACAACTTATCTCAGACTGGGAGCAGGAATCACACTGACGGAGACATTGATGGCGATAAGGACTTCGAAGGGAAGATAGAATCGCACCCAATGAAATTCTCGGACTTGAATGAAAGCTGTCAATCTCCAAAAGACCCAACAGCCTCAATTGGTGAAGCTGTCCACGGAGATATATCGGATAGAATTAAAGAAGTGGCCGATGAGGTGGAGAAACTGATAATGGACGATGATAATAGAGTAACCCACAATCATAGAGAACCACAAATAGATAGCGGCCGGTTCGCAAGTACAATGCCTGGTCTAGCAGAGATTGAGATGAGCATTAAGTCGAACACTGTGGGCGACGCTGCTCTGCTTCAACAACAGCATCCGCATCCTCCGCATCATGCCATACCTATTGCAGTTCCGATTTCGGTTCCCAATTCAAGCATTGCCCATCCATCACATCAGCATCCGAGTTTACCTTTTCCGGACCAGTTGGCTATGCAACATCACCACCAACTGCACCACCAACACCATTTGACAATGCTTCCTACATCGCAGATGATGAATTCGAATCCTAATGAGTTGTGGTTCTACCGGGATCCTCAGTCTAATGTTCAGGGACCGTTCAGTGCCATGGAGATGACGGAATGGTATCGGGCCGGGTACTTTAATGAAAACCTCTTTGTGCGCCGCTTCTCCGACAGTAGATTTAGGCCATTGGGTGAGCTAATAAAGCTTTGCCACGGCAACATGCCGTTCTCGCACAGCCATTTGCTGCCTTCACCGATGGACTTGGACAATCTTCCCATTGGACAAATGCCAGCCGCACTTCCTGTGCCACTTCCACTTACGCCGCGCAAGCCATCGTCAGCTGCGCTCTCCCTCTCGTTGGGCGAACAGCAATTGCAGCAACAACTGCAAAGAGAAGAGCTCAAAGCCAATGTGACCGCCGCTGCAGACTCGCTGAGCGCCGCCATTAAAGGAAATCTGGGCGGAAATGGCTTGGACGCAACATCGCATATGCTGACAATGCGATTCCAGATGCTGCAGGATCAGTACTTGCAGCACCAGGAGTACCAAATAGTCAATGAGCTGTCCAAAAACGAGTGCTTTCAGCGCCTCTCTGCTGTCGATCGGGAGTCGGTAGTACGGCGCAAGGTTCAGTTGCTCGTTCTGCCAGAGTACTTGAGCAGCCTAAGCGGGCTGAGTAACTCGCTGGCTGTACTAAATCCGGCAGCCGGGAGCCAGTTGTACCATGTGATAGCTGAGCAGGGTAAAAAGGATCAGCAGCAGCTGTTTGCCAATAGCACAGACCAGCAGCGGCCACTAGGCAATCTACTGGAAGCAAACAACTTTATACACAACGCAAAGCTAATGCATCAGCAGGCACAGCAGGTTCAGGCTGTTTCGCAGCGGCCTGCGGACGAGGTAGCGTTGCCTGGATCGGCTGCTGAGCCGAATAAGCTTGATGATATACATGTCAGCGATCTGGATATGCTAAATGAATATAACTTGCGTATGCTGCTGCGAGGACAACCCACCGTTGGGCATCCGCAGCCTCCGATACAAACTCCTGGAAGTGACAATCCCACTGGTGGGGATTTCATGACCGAGTCACGAATGCTGGCAGCGCAGAACCTGATGATTCCAATGTGGCTGCCTGCTCAACAGCAAGCACCGAATCCGAACCAGAACCCGCAATGGTCTGGAATGGCAAACGCAAAGGTCACTCTGTGGGACGTGGCCACTTTGGAAGAAGAGCAGAGCCAACAACAGCAGCAACTACTAGCTCAACAGCAGCAACAGAAATTCATGGCAGGAGCAGTGCAAGCACCAGGTGCTGGTGCAGCAGCAGCCCTTGTAACTCCCCCAGTGGATAATTTGGGCGCTTGTTCCCAGGCTACTGACAATCAAGACAATCATTTAAAGGAGTCGCTCAGTCCAAAGCCAACACAGACTGCGATTGCGGATGTGGAACCACTCAAGGATCAACATCCATCACAGCCTCAGGCTCATGTCAAGCCAACTAATAAACAGAACTTGGCTGCTAGACCGCCGCAGCAGTCGGCACCGACAAAGTTTATTAATGAGGAAGAGCGGCGGCGGGAGCTAGCTGAGGAAAAGCGCCGACTCAAGGAAGAGCGCAAGCGTCAAGAGGAGAAACGCCGTGCCCTGCAGGTGGAAGAACAAAAAACTCGACAATCGCAAGAAGAAAAGGAACGACAACTGCAAATACAAGGTCAGCGTCGGAAGGCATTACTAGGTAGCGCACAAGCCCCAGTTCAAGGTACAGCAACAGGTGTGTAATATTGTATATTTATTTATTTATTTATATAGAAAGATGTTAGAGTTAAAACTAATCTAGCTTATTTAATGATAGCGCTGGTTACTATGACCTTCGGCTATGTTGCTATTATGTTACATTATGCTTATTATTTTATATTTATTATATGTGAGATGTATTACATGGGTTTTATATTAGAGTTAGATTAATGGATATAAATTGGTTTCTTTTAGATAGTTTATGATTAGGTCGATTTCAGATTTAGTTGGGTTAGAAAGAAATGTGAGCGGATTATTGTTAGCGAAGATTTTGAAACGTATGTCTGTGAGTTGTGAGGATGGGCAGTCTTTGAGTAGGTGTTCTATAGTTATTGGAACGTTATTCAGGCAATGCGTACAAGTATTAATTTTGGTAGGATCTAGGTAATGTTGGTGAGCTATTCTTGTATGTCCTAGTCTTAGTCTAAATATTTTTGTTTTTTTATCCTTGATGTGGTGTTTTGGTCTAGTCTTTTGGTGAATTTGTCGGCTGTTATTTGGTTGGGATTGATAAATTGATACCAGTTCGATGTTTGTTCGAGTTTTATAAGTTTGTCTTCAAGCATTTTTGTCTTGAGGTGTTTGAGGATATAGAGTCTGAATATATCATTTATTTCCCGCGCATAGATTTAACAATTTGTATTGCCTCGAATATGGCTATGATTTCGGCAGAGTAAATTGATGAAAGCCCACTGATGTAGTAAGCCCACTTTTAAGGTGTTTTTTTCCGTTGTGATTGCAAATGATGTGGCACTTATGGTTTTTGATCCATCCGTAAACAGAAATGTGTGATCATTAAATTGGTTTTTGATAATACGAAAGTGTTGTTGGTATATAGAGTCGTGTGTATTATTTTTGTTTAGTTTGTCAAGTTCGGTATTTATGGTATTTGGTTGGAATTTCCAGAAAGGTAGCTTAGTTTTTATCTCGGGTTTTACGAGAAGGCTTATGTTTTGTTTTTTGCAATTTTGTAGGGAGTAAGGTATTTTGTTTTTAAACTGTATTCGGATTGAGATTTTGTGAAGTGGTGAGTTGTTTGGAAAATAGAGGTTTTTTATTAGTTTGGCTTGTGGAAAGTCACGTCGATCTGCAACTGTGTTTATGTTAGCTTCCATTAAAAGATTTGTAATCGGGATTGTCCTAAATGCTCCCAAAGCTATCCTTACTGCACAGTTTAGGATGGTTTTAATTTTTTTAAGGCGAGTTATTGAGGAATTGCCGTAAAATACTAGTCCGTAGTCAATTTTAAACACTATTATTGCTTTTGTGATTGATATTAGTGTATGCGTAGTGCAATTGAACTTGTTACTGGAGAGACATTTTATTATATTCATTTTGTTTGAGAGAGAGTTAGCTAAGTCTTCTATGTGTCTAGTCCATTTATATTTTGAATCGAATGTGAGTCCTAATATTTTTAAGTGGCCTACACTCGGTATGTTTAGGTTTCTTGTTGCTATTGTGCATTTACAGTTATGTTTACGAACACCATTCGTAGATTTTTTGGAATAGGTCGTCGAGATTTAAATTTTCTTGGGTTTGGTTTTCTTTAAATTTGATAATAATATGAAAATCAGCTGCATAGGCTGTTAATGTGAGATTTCGTTGGATAGTAACGAGCTTTGCTAGTTTATTATATGCTATTAAGAATAAAATAACTGATATCGGTGATCCCTGGGGCATTCCGTTATGCAGAAAAGTGCTCGATAGGTTGTTTGCGATGCGACATTTGATTTTTCTCTTTTATTGTATTGTATTGTATGTTTGTAGTAAAAAACCACCACAACCTCTTGGCTATGATTTTATCTAGAACTTTTGCGAAGCAAGAGTTTAGAGAAATCGGGCGGTATGAGGTTATTGATGTTTTGATGCAACCGGGTTTAGCTATTGGTATAACAAGACCTATTTTGTAAGTTTGGGGTATATAGTTATTAAGTATGTTATTGTAGTGTTTTAAAATTCTATCTTTAACTGCTGGGGATGTATTTGCAATCATTGGGTAGGAGATTCCATCAATACCTGGTGAATGATCCTTTAAGCTTGAGAGTGCGGAGGAAAGTTCTATTGATGTGTGGTGATTATATTTTCTGAGCAGATTACGATGGAGGATAGTTTTGATATTTGGAAATTGAATATTTGTTGTTAGTGAACATGGGTGAGAAGTTGGAATCTTTGGACTGATCGGACCAGTATTCAGCAAATGAATTGGCAATGGAGGGGTTATCTGAAGTTGGCTGTAAAGTGGTCGGATGGATAATTGTATGGATGTTTTTCATATTATTGAATCCACAAAAGCGTCTTATATTTGACTAGGTTTGACTTGTCTATGTTTGTGGTTGGATTTCTGAAGTAAAAGTGACTTATTTTTGGCAGATTTAATTTCTTTTTTAAATTTTGCCTCTGCTTTTCGAAATCTAATGATGTTTGTAGTTTTAATGTGTTTTTTTAGTTTGTTCCATGCTTGTTTTCTTTCGTTATTGAGAGTTTGCAGTCCATTGTTCCACCACGGAACGTTTCTGGAATGATTTTTAATTGATGTTTGTGGGATGGTAAGATGGGCGCTTTGTAGTAGAATTTTATTTAGACATGATGAAGAATCATCATATTGATATTGTTTGAGGGCGAATTTTTTATTTTAATGTAGTCAGTTTTGTCCTTAAATGCATCCCAGTTGGCTGAGTTAATTTTGAAGATTGGGTTGTTTTGCGTTTTATTCTGTTTGTTTGTGAAAGAGTGTAATGAGGATAGGGAAATGGTCACTTCCGTGAAGGTCATCGATGATTTTCCAGTTAGCGTATAAGTCTCGAGAGCAAAATGATAGGTCGATATGTGTGTATTGTGTGTGGTGAAGTGTGTGGGGGATTTGTCGTTTAAGAGTATAAAGTTGGTGTTATTTAGGAATTTGGCTACTGTATTGCCTCTTACGTTATTTTTTGGTGAGCCCCAAAGCTCCAACTGTGGAAATCACCTAAAATAAGTGAGCTTGAGTTATTTCTGAGAACATTGTGTAGGCTACTTTCGTTAAAATTTCGGCTTGGCGATATGTATGCAGAAATTATTTTGAATTTTTTCTTCGATTCAACTTCAATAGCAGTTACATCGAAGTCAGTTTGTAAATGTATTTCATTTGATTGGACTGAGTTGTGTGTGGAGACTGCTGCTCCCCCAAAATTGGGTGAGTAGTTTTTAGCGTAAAGTTGATGGGAATGGGTATATTGTGAGTATTAAATAAATGTGTTTCTTGTAATGCAATTATATGCGGTTGGTATTGCTTAATAATAATTTGTAATTCATTGTAGTTGTTTATGTAGCCTCGAAGGTTCCATTCGATCATTGTAAGAGTCATTTTTGTAAGTTTTTGTCTCTTGAGTGCTGATTATTTGGATTGTTTTTACTTGATGTGTTAGTTTTAGTCGGATTCTATTTCCATTGAGCAGTTGTTGCTACTCAAGGCGTCAGTATTGGGGTTTTTCTGTCTTGTTTTTTTGTTGCTTGAGCTTTTTAATTTGTCCGCAGCCTTTATTGCTGCTAATCTGCGCTTAGAGGTAGTCAGTCGTAGAATTTTTACATTGTTGTTTATGTTTTTATGGGAATTTGTTAGGGTGTTCAACTTACTGTCTATTTCTGAGTCGATATCAGATTACGATACGGTTTTGCGTTTGGATGTGGATGCTTGCTGGGGGTGTTGTTGTTGTTGTGATGTTGTGTGTTGTTGTTGTGATGCTGTGTATTGTTGTTGGGATTGCGTAGAGGCCTGTGTGGTTTTGGTGACTGAAGAGAATGAGTGGGGTGTATTATCTGTGTTTCATGTCCGTAGCATTGAGAGGGCTGTTTTGTTGTCGCATTTGTTTGTGGCTTTCATTGCTTGGAGTTAAGTGGGTTCGAAGAGTGCTGGTCGTTATTGCAGTTAATGCAGTGCTGGGCTTTGTTACATTTCTCTTGTGTGGTCGTGTCAATGTGGAAGTCCTCTCCGCAATTAAAGCAAAGTTGTTTGTTTTTGCAAATTTTTGGAGGTGTCCTAACTGGAAGCAATTGTTGCATTTCTTTGGATGTGGTATATATTGTCTGGGGTTGGTATCCAATCATTATGTACTCCGGTAGGGTTAGTAGGTTGAATGTTATTATGCAAACGCCAGTCTCTTTAAGAGATCCGTTTTCTCTTTTCAAAATTTTCTCTACTTCGGAGACTTCGCAAGTTCTATTTGGATTTCGTCTTCTTCAATGCCTCTTAAATCGTTAGAGTAAACGACGCCCTTTGAGTAGTTAAGAGAGTTGTGTATTATGGCCTCTGATGGCTAACTCAAAAGTTACGTCCATAGAGAGATTCTACCACCAAGCTCTACCGCCTATCCTCTACCTCTGTGTTGTTTTGGGAGGTGGTGGCTTTCTAACAATTTAAAACCGTCTTCCGTGGGCATTGGAAAATGTTCTGTTGTTGCGCTGCCGCTACACGTAGACCCGGGTGGAAAACCATTTTTGCCGAAAGCTATATTTTTCGAGACTACCGATAGCGGTAGCGGACTAAACTTGATTGTTTTAAAGTCATTACTATTTGCTACCTAATTGGATTTTTGGCCTGAATAGTTAATCATTTTTTAAATTTTTTACAAGAAAACTGGGCACATGCTTCAGTTTTAAGCGGAACAATTGGCACGCTTTGCTTAATCTTACTTTTATAGAGCTTTTTGTGTTGATATTTCCTAGGAATAGCAGTGAGCACCAAGCATGTCGTTGCCAAGCCGGGGGATTTACAAGCATCTACTCGTTCGGCTGCTACATCAATTGCGCCATGGTCACTTCGATCGCCGAAAGCCAACAGCGCCGCGCCTGGACTGGCTGAGATACAAAAGGCAGAAAGAAGAGAACGACGCGCGGATCAGCAGCGACAGCAGGAACAGTTGGACAAACAAATGCGTGCCTCTGCAGCAGCTGCAGCCGAGGCGAACGATGCTCTTTTAAAGTGGCAGGCAGCACCCGCTCCGGCGCCCGTTATGAGCCTGGCTGATATTCAAGCAGAGGAGGCCAAGCGGTTGGCCAACGAGCTCATGGAACAGCAAAGGCGTCGCGAAGTAGAACAGCAACAGGCTGCCATAGCATCAAATGTGGGTGGCACGTGTGGCCTGTCCAACATCTGGGGAACTGCCAATAAGGCTTGGAATGCATCCACCTCTTCTTCGCTTTCATTGTCAACAGGTACTCGTCTATGGGATGATCCCAGTTCCCCGTCGGTCAATCAAATTATTTTGCAACCGTCTGCCAGTGCCAGTGGCGCTGGACCAATCACTGCTGCGGCGGTTCTAGTCGCTGGTCTGCATTTGGCGGAAAAACATAGCATACACGCACAGCCAAAATCGACAACTGTCTTAGAATCACCGCGGAATTTGCGGAAGAGCCAGACCTTGCCGAGCATGCAGAATGTGGCAAAAACGACCAAAGCTGTTGGTGGACAGCTTCAGGAGAAGAACAAAACGAGTCAGGTAAGGCCGAATCCCAAAGCGGCACCTACGGCGGCAGAAGAAAAGGACAAGGATAGAAAATCGATTGGTAAGGGGTCCATAGACCAGGCCAGCAATAAAGTTAATGAATATGAAAACGAGTTTACTAGCTGGTGTATGAGAAGCTTGGACAATATGACCGCCAAAGTGGATGGTAAATAGATATTTTCAGCGATGGGTTTATCACTAAATCTTAACATTTGTATCATACTTGCAGTACCCACGTTTGTTGCATTTTTGCAGGACTTAGAGGCACCATATGAAGTGAAGGACTATGTGCGCATATACCTTGGTACGCACACGATACGTATATAAATAACGTACAATTGCATTTATTTGTCAAATTAGAAATCAATAGAGCTTGCAAGGTTATAGATTTAGTTAAAATATCTGCCGAAAATCTCGTTTCCAGATCCCTAGCATAAGTCAGACCGAGTTGATAACAATTATTTACATATATCTTTGCCGAATACTGTTTGCTTTTAAGCTATCTAGCGGAAACAGATTGTTTATGTCGCTATTATTTGTTGATCTCACTTGGGCGCTTTGGGTCTAACGAAACGAGGCTATAAAAAGCTGTAGCTTCAAACCGGACAAATCAGTTAGGATAGAAACAGACGGACGAATAGTCGCTCTTGTCCGTCTTATCCGTTGTTATCCTGATTAATGCGTCACGTCATCAAACGTATAAATGGCATGGATATCCACATTATTAGTGGGCAATTTTGTTGCGAAATAATGCACCCAAATAAATAACTTCTGAAAATAGGACCATACCATAGAACAAAATATATTTTTTATTGGAAAAGTAGAAAAATCATTAAAAAGGGTGTACAAAATCCAATTTTGAGTCATATCTTCAGGTATATCCACTCCATCGACACGAATCAAAAATCCTGCGAAAGGTCTAACAATTCTGTTTTTAAATTATAAATTGTAGTGGATATTACCGCTTCAGATGTCGAATTTTTAAAATGAATTTTTAAAAATGATTTGGGGGTGTTTTGCAAGTTTTATGTTACAAATCTAGTTATCCAGAGCTACAAACCCATTTTTTCTTCGTGCAAAGTACATTCCAAGGGTTGCATTTTGTCTTTATTGTTATTAATTAATTTTCTTATCAATTATTTATTGTATTACGGTTATTTAATACAATAAATAATTAATAATTAATCACGGTCTAATATAACAAAAACTTTCAGGCGACGGAAAAGAATCTTCGGACTTTGCCAAACAATTTTTGGAGCGGCGCAGTAAATACAAGAGTTTGCAGCGTGCTCAAAACGCGCACAATGATGATATGTGCAAGCCCGCTCCGGCTATAACACCATCAGGAAACGATAATACCGAAAGCAAGGTTGGTACAATTTTTTGACTCTTCCTTATATCGTTGACAACGTTCCGTCCACAGAACAAGCAGAAGAAAGTCAAGAAGAACAAAATGACTAAGTTGGACGCACGAATTCTCGGTTTTTCGGTAACCGCTGCTGAGGGTCGCATTAATGTTGGCGTTCGGGACTATGTCGACGGACCATAACCACTCCGCAAGCGGCAACGACAACCTCAAGTTTTTTATATAATGAGAAACCCTATTAAATATAGATTTGAATTGAAGGCCGGCTAATAATTGGACTTAACCGTTGTTCAAAATAAATCCGTATATACATGTGTAACTAACATTCGTGTACCCTAATACATACATATGTGCATACGTTACTAAAGGTGAGCGGATGGGTCTATTGATTTGATTAGATTGATGAAAAAATTCAGGTAACCCTTGGTCTTGGTCGAGGTTCAATTTTATTTGAAATGTAAATAATTATTTATTCAAAAACATGCTCCAAAGCCAAATTTTACACAATTTCAGTCGACTTATGCGAGCAACAGACTAACTTCCTGGAATCAAATTGAATCGAATCTTACGTTTTCGATGTTGAGAAACACATATTCAATACATTTTCTATAACTTAGAAAAAATTGTGAAAGCCCTCACAATAAGTAAAGATTACCAATTCAGTCAAATGTCCCCTTATATGGGACGGATTATTTGTATTACTTTCCTAACAGTTTACTTATCACTCGTTATTTAAAGAAGGTATGCGTGTTCTGTAACCGCTTTAAGGCGTATGGCCTTAAATATGTATTTGTAATTTTTGAATAAAAAGTAAACAACAAATTTGTACGAATAAAAGCATTGCAAATTATCTGTAAATAAAACTAGTGTACGATAATGAAAATCAATTTCGAATTTAATGTACCCCTTTACTCTTCAAACCGCGGGTATAAAAACTGAAGATACATAACGCTAAAACTTACGGGACAAATGAAAAAGGTATTTTCTAATTGCCATTTCTTATAGTTCGGTAATTGTGCTGTGCGGTTATTTTATTGAGCTTGTAGTTTGCAATTTCAAGATTTTAGGGGTGGTAATTTGGCAAATACATATGTACAAATATGGAAACAGATACAGAAAGATATATGTATGTATGTAAAGTTAATTGCCAAGTCAGTGCAAACGGTATGGTCAGTCAGCTTGAGCTTTGAGCTAATGATTTATGTAATTTATACAATACATGTTATGTGTTGTTTAAGTCATTAAAATCATTAAGTCATTAAAATCAGTCAAACCGTTTGGGAGACTTTTATAAATGTATTCGATTTTAGCCCTTTTATTTCGCTCCAGACTCCTGTATATCCTGTAAAAAATCAATCTGTCCGAATAGTGATGCAAAAAATAGAGGAAGACATATCATGCGGCACAAAATAAAAATAATATTTATATAAAATAATAATATAAAAGAGAAAAAAAATGTAAATTCGTCAATAGAATATAATTGCGGAACAGGCCATTCAATAGCATTTTGTTAGCGATACTCAAAAAGATAATAGGGTTATATTCGATTTGTGGGGAAGTGGATGTGTGTAACGCCCAGAAACAAGCCTTTCTGACCCCATAAAGTATTTATATTATTGATCTGCATCAATAGCCGAGTCGATAGAGCCATGTTTGTCTGTCCGTCTGTCCTGTTTGACGTCTAGTTCTCAGAGAGTGTAAGAGCTACAGCAACGAAATTTTGTATCCAGACTCCTTCCGCCCCCACAAAGGACAAAAATATGCTGCATCCACAACTTTGATGATACGAGAGAACGCAGAATCATAGAGACTATATCTTCCAGACTGTAGAATCTGAATCTGATCAAATCATTATAGGCATACGGAAGAAATTAAATTTCAGTGTCTACGTAGCGTGTCCACGCCGCTTACTCATTTTTTGTCTAATCGACATTGGCTTAATCTAGTAAAATGGAAAAATCTACGAAACGGTAGAGAATATTCTTCAACAGTTTGTTTATTTTAAAATAGGATTAATTAAGGTTTCCACTGAGTATTTACACAATAAATTTACTCTTTAGTGTTTTTTAAATTGAATTAAGTACCGGTCGCGAACGTACGATTTTTCGATCTGCTTTTTTTTTCCTTATCTCCTCACATCCTCTCATATCTTTATACTTCATATTTACAAATAACTTATTTGGCTCTTAAGAGAGACGTTGAGGAAATACTTTTATTAAGAATCAACTTTCTTATAGGAGAGAATATTAAAGGATAAAATGATTATTCGAATAACGAAAAAGAGGTCTAATGAAATTATATTCCAATATAAAAATGATATGCCGAAATATAATTTCGGGATGAATGTATATGAAATATATTCCATGGAAATGCAGGACTATGAATAATTGTGTAATTTTAACACTTGTTTGATTTCTATTATAAGAAATACATTTTTGGATATAAACTATGACACCTCTTGTATTGGGTCATATGAGTGTTATGCGTCATATGGTATCTCAGTGTATAATTGGTATAATTGTGGTATAATTTCGGTCGGATGTTAGCCTCTCGAATAGAAAACCAAATTCTATTTGTGAGGCTAACAGGCCCAAGCGATCTGGAGAGGTTTTACTCGCTAGCGACTGCCTACTCCTATCCATCCTAATCTTACTACTCTAGCACTGTATTTGCCTTCTTCTCATTTATGCCATGTTTAATATTCTTATTGTTTAATAGCTACTAGTACATACATTGACATTTTGTTGACACAAGACTGCGCTCCTTTAACCAAGATGTTAGGAACGAGGATTAATAGTTAGCAAGATTCAGATGTATAACCAATAACCATAAATTCTTCCAGTAAAATCAGTTTCTGACGTTTCAGTTCTCAGGAATAGCTATAACGTTTATCCGCTGTTTCAAACGTTTGAGAACTATAATAAGGCTGCGATACCAATATATTTAAACATATTTAACACAATCCCGTTAAAGGGAAACCAGATTTTGCCAATATCTTGCAAGAGGCACCAAAAAGTTGTTCTATGGCGGAGATTTCCATGATGCCCCGCGACAATGATGCGGGGTTTCAACTTGTTTTTCACCTATGTTTCGTTTCTAATCGGGCCCGCTGCCAACTCGGCGCCGTTTGTTCGTCAATGCCTTGGGCAGTTGACACGGTCCTTAGAATCTAACAATAATATACACAGACTTTCACAATTTAAGTACCAGTAACCCGCCAAGAAAAATAGTACTACATTTAAAATATTATTGGTAATAAACTCAACCCGTTCAACAAAATTACAATTTTTTACAACAATCTACAAATGCAACCACTACAACATATAAAATAAGTTTTATTCGGTACCCGTTTTTTTGTGTCTGATACTGGTGTAATTAGAGCTGGTATTCTACTATGTGTGGGTTGTGTGTGGACGGAATAAGTCCGAATAATAATAATAATAATTATACATATGAAAGTGAATATGTTTAAAGTTAAGTATAATTAAGGAGCGTGCCGCCTTGCGACCTAACAATGGAGATCGGTGATGATAAACAACTCATAGGAGATGCATGCAGATATGTATAGGTTGGGGGATCAAAAAAAAAAAAAACAACATATAAATATGTTTAAAATTATAATAGTTATCACATCTTTGAGCTTACAAAAATTGTATTTCGCATTTCGTTTGAAGATCGCTCTAAAATAAACTGCCATATAGCTTTAGTGGGCTCATCTGAAATTCTTTCAGGGGAAGTAAGACAAGGGTGGAAGTACCATAGAATAGAAATGCACAATACTTCCAGTTCTCCTGCCCTGCTTTTGTTTCGTTCCCGGCGGCAATGATGGTAACATGCTGGCTGCTGCCTTTGTTGCTGCCTGTTATTATTTGGTCGTTGTTGAGTGCATTTTGAACACTCGAAACTGTATACTTTGCGAAATCCAATAAACAAATTAACGACTTTTGTCATTTTCCACTTGAATGAAAAGTAATACAACACAGAATCAAGCTTTCAAATGTGGAATTAATGCGAAACAGTACTGAATTTATGTACACTCTTTCTATAGTTATTCTGAGTCAGCAACATAGAAGTTATTACTGTGAAACTGTGGGTATTCATATATCCCTTAAGTGATGTGTTTTTATATATACTTATACATTTTTTATTAAACTAAATACGCAGTTGGAGCTAAATCTGTTAGCTCTGGTACGGTCCCATGCCATTTGACTTTGTCTAGAAAAAGGCCTTTCGTACGGACATAGAGTACAATGGAAAAGAGCGGAACTGGAAGTTGTACTGCCCAAAATCCTACCCTTATTTGTTCCATCCTGTAATTATAGACGCCGTCGAGCCTGGGTTTTCATATATGTACATACGTATGTATAAGTATAAATGGTGTCCAATGTCACATAAGCCAAACGATTATGTGCGTTGGTTATTTTTTCCTTTATGTAATAACAATAACCTTGCCAATTCTGACGTGTAACTAGTCAACTGTTGCATAGATATCTTAATCGATAATAATACAGTTTCAAAGAAAGGAAACATTTTCCATCTTATAAAATATAATTGATATGTACCTATGTGTACATACATATAATCTTGATCAATAATTTATAATGAAAAAGCTTTGACTAGGATTCCCGTCAATATGCACATACCTAGGCACAAGATTTGTAATTTAAATGAACTTAAAGAAAGTATACATAGTACATATATTTATTTAAGAAATTGATGTAAAACACCACCTATTTAAGTTATAAAAGCTTCGAATTGGTTTAGAAAATGGGCGGGGGCGACAGATGTTGCCGGTAGCGACGCACTTGAAACCAGATACCTGCATATTATCTGATTGAGCTAGTTATTTTTTCAAATAGTGGGCGTGCTGTACGAGTAATGCTGCATCATATTGATGGTGGTAGTTGCACAACACGACCATCGAATAAAATTGCCCAAAATTTTTCACTTAACAGAAACACTTAACACCGCACTTGTCGCAACTCCGATGTGAAGATGTAATAAACCCCATTTTCACTTTCAGTTTTCAGTAACTATAAAAAGTTTTTTTCTCTATTTTATTTTCTGATTAATTTTAGGCGATATGAATTTTAAAAAGTACCACAGGAGATACATACTTATGAAGGCACATACATACATACATATGTATGTACAAAAGGTTCTCCTATTGAATTGGGTGCTTTGAGAGAAATCGCACACCTGTATCCTTTCATTAGTTTCAGATACAGATCACTGAATGTTTCTAAAATTTTCACACATTTTAATTTACAATGCGACTTATCACGTAAAAAAAACCAGATTCAGCTCGTTGATAAAACTCTGGTAGTGTGAGAATATGA